GCCCCCCGAAAGTCGAGCAGCTCCTGCCGGCCTGGGCCGCACGCGCCGGCCGCCGACCTGGCAGCCGCGGGGGGCCCGTGTCCGCGAGGGGCCAGCGGGCCTGCTCGCGCGCGTGGCCGGCTGGCGAGGGGCCAGCGGGCCTGCCACCTCCTCCTCCTCCTCCTCCTCCTCCTCCTCCTCCTCCTCCTCCTCCTCCTCGTGCCGCGGCCCAGACACCCGATGATGATGCCGTTTCCCCTCGGGGCGCGTTCTCTTCCATTTCGGCACCTGCGGGGTCGGCTGTCCACCCACCACCCGGGGCGAGGAAGTGCCCCGAGGGAAAGGATCGCCGATTCCCAGTCGAACCCCCGCCCCAGAACCCCTCTCACCTCTCTCCTCCTCCTCCTCCTCTCCTCCTCCTCCTCCTCCTCCTCCTCCTCCTGCTCCTGCTCCTGATCCTCCTCCTGCGCCTCCTCCTGCTCCTGATCCTCCTGATCCTCCTGATCCTCCTCCTCCTCCTCCTTTTCCTTTTCCTCCTCCTCCTCCTCCTCCTCCTCCTCCTCATCCTGCTGTTCCTCCTCCTGCTCCTCCTCCTCCTCCTCCTCTCCTCCCCGCTAGCGTTGCCCCAGACTTCCGCTGAGCATCTGAGCACAATCAGCGAGCGCCCGAAGGGTGTGGCGGCAACTCACAGCTGCACTTCTGGCGCGTTTGCGGCTGCCCCTGCCCCGCCCCGCGCGGACGGCGCGAGCGGCTGCCCACCACGGCGACCTGGGAGGCTCTGCTGCTGCAGATGCCACCCCCCGCTTCGGCCGTGGTTGCGAGCGGGGTCGGGGCAGCGTTGATAACGATGGGCCCACTTTCCACCACCACTCCACTAGGTAGGATAGGGAGGAGGAGGAGGAGGAGGAGGAGGAGGAGGAGGAGGAGGAAGAGGAGGAGGACCTCCTCCCTTCTCCCCCGTCCTACTTCTGGCAGTGGTGGCGGAAAATTTGCCCATCAGCTGAAAGTCCAAGCGCAGATGACCGCGGTCGCCTCTTCTGCTTCTCTGGCCGCTCGCTCCTCGTCCATTGACCCCGTTCCTGCGCCGCGGGCCGCCCGGTCCCGCTGCGCGCGCCGATCTCTGGGTTCCCCCCCAGGGGGGGCTCCAGCTGCGGTGCTCTGGCGAGGGGCGACCCCCGCCTGAAGAGGCGCGGCCGCAGCGATACACCCACACGAGATGACTGCCTGGGAAGGAAGCCCCATCGACTGCTCGCAAGAGTGACCCTGGGTAAGAGTGTGACCTTTGGTGCGCGACTTTTGGGGGGCCGCCGGGGGACAAAACCCGGGCGCGCAAGCAGCTGCTACTGCCTCGTTTTCGTCTGTGCCCGCACCAAAGGTCACTCCGGCGAAAGGTCACTCGAGTCAACCTTACTTGTAGTCGACCCCGGGAGGCGTGGCAGGGGAAACCGGCCCACCCCGCGGACCTCCAAGCAGCGCGCGGGGCGCGGGGCGCGCCGTGGCCCTCGCGTCGCGGGCGACGGCTTCTTGGCCGCGGGGGCCCCCATGGGGCGGGCGGGCGATCCCGTCGAGTCGAGCTCCTGCAGCGACCCGCTGCAGCCGCCTCTCGCGGCCTCCGCCCCTGTCGGCCTGCCAGGTGAGGTCGGGGTGGATGGATGGGGTCCTCGGCAACGTCGGCGTGGCGAAAAGCGGGCTCCACATCGAGCCGCGTCGGCGATGTGGCACGATCCACCGACACAGCCTACTCGGAACCCATCTGGGAGGCCTGGATTTGGGTGACCTCGGGGACTGGGGGCCAGAAATCGCCGGTCGGCTCCTGGACCCTGGTTGGTGGCGCGCAGAAGGGGGTATCGGGAAGGGGGGACGGCGAAGGCTTCTGGGGAGGAGGTTGCTGCTTGGAAGGCGCCGGCCCTGCAGCCATGGAATAGGCCCGCGCTTTCTGCGAAGCAGGGGCCCTTCTACTGTAAGGAGCCTTCCCCTCGTCGTCCCTCCCCCTCGTCGTCCTTCTCCGCCTCTTCGTCCTCCTCCTCCGCCCGGCCCTCCCTCTTCTCCGTCTTCTTCCTCTCCGTACTCCAGCCTGCTGCCCTCCAGGGCCAGGTCCTGCGGGACAACGCCCCCGCCCTGGAGCCGCGGGGATATAGGCCCTGCGGGGTGTTTCCACCCGGCCCGGGATGGACGCTACCCTGCGGGGTATAACCACCTACCGAATGCTCAACCGAATGCTCCTCCCCCACCCCCCTCCTGCGAGTGGCTCACCTGGGGATGCCGCTGGCTTCGCCGCGCGGGCGAGCGCGCGGTCCTCGCAGGCCTCTCTTCGGCCGCGCGCCAGCTTCGCCCCGCGGGCTCTCTCCAGCCGGCGGCGTCCCGTGCGCAGCTCCGCTGCTCGGCGGCCGAGCAGCTCTGGCCGTCCCCGAGCACCGCCCGCGGAGCGTCGAGGCCGGCGGCCTGTGCTCGCGTCCTCCCTGCCGTCGGAGCTCGGCGGTGCACGGGCTCCCGTTGCCGTGCGGGGGGAGGCGCGTCCTGGCGAGCCTCGCGCGCCGCCCGCAGCTCCCGTCGCCGCAGGCAGGGTGTGGGTCTGGTTCTGCCTGCTGGGGCCGCCCCGTGGGAGGGCCTGGAACCGGGCACCCCGGTCGGCCCAAAGGCTCTGGTACTACTGCTGCGGCATGCTGCGCATGCTGCTGCCTCTGGTGCTGGAACTGGCGCGCAATGTTTCTCGCTGCGCAGGTGTCCTGCTTTTGTCGCCGCCTCTGTGCGACATGTAACTGGTCTTGCTAGGGCTGCCGATGCAATGAGAGCAACCACGACTCCATCTGCTACCTCGGATACTGCAAGAAATGACGTTGATGGTGCGACTGGTACCAACGCGTCCGCCACTCCGAAAACCAGGGCAACTACAACTAATTACGCACCGTTACCGCTACCTACCACTCTTGCTCACACCCTAAGACGAAGGCAAGATGAGGACACATGCGAATGAGGATAAACAAGGCATCTCTGAGAGTCGGCGGGCCTGGATAGTGTCTTGGGCGCCGCGGCCGTTCCGCGCTCTGGGAGGCTCTGAGAGCACCCCAGAACGCGATGGACCGAATCATCCTCATCCTAAGCCTGCCAGGCCACTCCAGCTCCCTCGGGTGCGCCCACTAGAGTGGCCAGACTACTCCAGCTCCCTCAGGTGCGCCCAGCAGGGGGCCATGAACAGGGGGGGGGCAACGCACCGTGGCCCAAGGCATGTGCGCGGAAGAAGGCGGGGGAAGGGAGCCTGTAGAAAGGAGCAGGGGGGGTATGACATCTAGGAGACTTCGTGGCCCTGGCCATGATGTCCCCATCCCAGGAGGAGGAGGAGGAGGAGGAAGAGGAGGAAAAGGAGGAGGAAAAGGAGGATGAGGAGGAGGAGGTGTCCCCACACCGTCGACGCCTCGTAACTCCTGGGTCACAGCACGGGGCTCCAGGGGCCGCCCAGGGACGATCCCGGCGCTCCCATAAAGCAGCTCAAGACGGGCCGCAGCAGCTGGAGAACACGCCGCGGCCACAAGGGGGCTCTCCAAGAGCTGACGTCAATTCTCTTCAATTACACACGAGAGTATTTGTTGTTCCCAATCATACTGTGTTGTTGGGTCCTCGTTTAGAAGAGACAGCGCGCCGCGTTCCGTTGCCTCCTCCTTCTCGCCCCTCCTCCTCACACGCTGCCCCCTCTCTCCTCCTCTCATCATCAGCATCGTCGTCATCATCAGCATCATCATTAGCATGATGATGATGATGATCATCATCATCATCATCATCTTCATCATCATCATCATCATCATCATCATCATCATCATCATCATCATCATCCGCATCATCCTCATCACCATCCTCATCCTCATCCTCATCCTCATCCTCATCCTCATCATCCTCATCATCCTCATCATCATCATCATCATCGTCGTCATCATCAGCATCAGCATCATCATCATCATCAGCAGCATCAGCATCATCATCATCATCATTGAACCGAATCGAATCATCATCATCAGCAGCATCATCATTATCATCATCATCGTCGTCGTCGTCAGCAGCATCAGCATCAGCATCAGCATCAACATCCTCCTCCTCATCATCATGGCCGTCATCAACACCATCATCGTCATCACTCCCGCTTCGGCACACCCCTCATACGCTCCAAGAAATCCGCGCGGACCTCCGAGTTTTTTATGTAATTTCTCGTTGATCTAATCTGACCTGCCCCCCGTCGCGGCTGACGAGGTGAGCGTTTTCTTACGGCGTTTCGACACTGGGCGACGCCTCACACGTCTCGTGGCCCCACAGGCACGCATGTGGGCGACACCTCCGGTTCGGCACACCCTTCACACGTTTCAACGCCCTACAGGGAGCTCCACAGAAGGTCTCAGTGGCGCAGCACGCATGTCGGCGGCGCCCTCATTTCGGCACACCCTCACACGCTTCGTGGCCCCAAAGGGAACACCACCTAGGGTCCCAGTGGCACCCCCGTGTCGGCACACACCTCACACGTTTCGTGGCCCCACAGGGGAGCTCCGCCTAAGGCCGCAGTTGCGCAGCCCGCATGTTGGCGACACCCCCGTTTCGGTACATCCCTCACACGTTTCGTGGCCCCACAGGGAGCTCCACCAAAGGCCCCAGCGACACAGCCCGCGTGCGGGCGTTGTCCCCGACGGAGTTCCACCTCTGACGGTACTCACGATCGACCGCGGTACTGACAACTGCGCATGGTTGGATTCTTCGCCAGGCTACTTTTTCGCTTCAATGTGCAACTCCCTCTTCGACGCCCCCGACTGACCACTCGAGCCCACAAATCATACGGCCCGCCAGTCCGCGGGCCAGCCGCCTCGTGTCGCGCAAAACGTCCTGTCGGAACCAGGGTGGATTCATGTACGTGTGCGTCCATCTTTCGCTCCTGACCCGCTCTCGCCACCAACCCTCTGAGTGAAGGCAGGGAGGAAGAGCCCTCCCCTGTGCGGGTGCCGGCCGCGCGCATGAGGCGGGCCGCGCACGCGGGCGGCGCAGGGTCACCGCTTCGAGCCCATCGTGCGGCTTGCCTCGGGTGACGGGGGAAGGGGGAAGGTGGCCATCGAGGGACTCCGAAGCCACCAACGACAGCACCGGGGGAGCGCGGAATGGGATGGAGGCGGGGGGGCGGAGAGAAGATGGAATATAGTGGAAAACCAAACCAAACATCAATGACACTCCGCCATGGGGAACCCGTCAGCGTCAGGCGTTCGGGCAAGAACGAAGAGGAACACGCTGACGGGCTCACAACGGCGGCGTGTCGTTCATGCTCTCCTCGCCTCCCGAGATAGGCGATACGCAGTAGGCGAATCCCAGGGTGCAGTTGATTGGGCCTGCTAGGGCGAGCTCAGCGAACCAGGGGGCACCCAAGCGGCACCCCATTAATGCAGTTTCCTGCTGCGGCTGGTGCCGCAGCCAGGGGAGGGGAGGGGAAGGAAGGACAAGGGGGCAAGAGAGGGCGGGACGGTAAGCAATGGTTCCAAATCTCTGATGCCATGATTTTGTCAATCTGGGCGCTTCTCCTCGAGTTCGGCTTCTGGTTTCCGTTTCGGGCACCGCTCCAGCGAAAATGGATCTGGGGCGAAAAAACACGCTTCCGATACTGATGTGCTGCGGGGGGCGTGTTTTGATGTGTCACTCATTGCTGGCGGGGAGGAGAAGCATAAGCAGGACAAGCATCATAAGCCATGTCGAGATGACAGCGATAGATGTGGAAGAGAAGGCTGAACGGGGAATCGGAGATAATCACGATCAAGGCTGCGCTCGCTCAAGGCGGGCCAACCTCGTAGCGGTTCCAGAAGCAAACGTGGCAGCGGTTGCAGTCCGCCCCGTCCTTGCGAAGCGCTGGTGGTGATGCGGCGATGGCGGTGCTGGCGGCGACTGGCGATCTGGATGCAAACGGCATTTGCAGGACAGGGTGTGCACACATGTGGAAGTGTAGGGACATACATAGAGAGAGAGAGAGAAAGAGAGAGAGAGAGAGAACGAGAGAGAGAGAGAGAGCGAGAAGCAAGAGAGAAAGAGAGAGAGAGAGGGAGATAGACAGAGAGAGAGAGAAAGAGGCAATGAAAGAGAGCGAGAGAGAGAGAGAGATGATACACATGTGTATATGTATATAGGGAAAGGAATCGAGAGATAGGGAGAGAACGACACATAAAAAACGAATATATACTCAGAACCAGTGTGTGAGAGAGAGAGATAAAAAAAGAAAGAGAGAGAGAGAGAGAGAGACAGAGAGATAAAGAACGGGATATTGGGAGGAACAACGCATGCCCCTGATCCGAACCCGATTGTTGCCCCATAACATTGCCCCTGCCTGGCCTTCACGCCTACCGCTACTCCTGCCCTGCTCGTTCCCGTGCTCGGTTCCTACACGCCCCCATCCCCTTCACTGCTATCGGGGTGGAATATAGATACACGTCGGTCGAAAGAAGTTGGTAAAAAACATAAAATATAAAGGCGGATCAAGTAGATTGGGCTCATGCCCTCCCAGAGAATAACAAGACACAGCAACACCAAATCGATAATTGAAGTAGGAAGGCGCTTGAAGTAGATTGGGATCTGGGAATCCAAAAACGCCTACATTCAACGACTGGCATGTACACTAATTCATCCCACTATGCCTCCTTAACCGTCTACCCTGCTTGGCCAGGCTGGACACTGCGCTTCCCCATCCTGCCCTGCCCTCTTCCAGCCACCTCAGACGCCTCCTCCTCGCCCTCCTCCTCCGCCCCCCCTGGATGTCGTGAACGCATTCCGCCAGGGCGCAAGGGTGCTATGTCCCGACGCGGCTCTGAACGCTCTCGTGCCAGCTCGGATTTGGGTGCTGACGGCGATTCGGCTTCGGACGCTTGGGCAAACTCGACGTTTGCGCCCCCCCCCCCCCTCTGACCCGCCTTATCCGACCTCGGTTCCCCTCGATCCCCTCCTCCCCTGAGCTACGACGACAGGTGTTTCCGCCAATTGCTCCTCAACGCGGGCCCCAGGAGGTTTGGGCCCCTTCCCCGGGACGTGCTTCTCATCGCGTGTCATTTTCAGACGACCCCAGGGCGGGTGAAGGGGTCAAAAACAGTCCGTGCTGATTCCTCAGTGACGAAAGAGAATGGGCTCATCCATCGCCCTGGTCCTCCTTTTCCCCTCCCTATCCTCACTCGCCCCATCCTCCCTCCATCACTTGCTCTTCCCCTCCTCGCCCTTGCTCGTCGCCGCCCTCCCGCACGTCCACCTCCCAAAATTCGTCCCCTCTGTGTCCCCACCCCCCACACACTGATCCATCGGCCGTTGTTCATTATCCGTCTTCGGTCCTCTTCCACCTCTTCCTCCTCCTCCTCCTCCTCCTCCTCCTCCTCCTCCTCCTCCTCTTCCTCCTTCTCCTCCAGAAGCAGCCAGCATGTGCAAGGGTACCACTAAGACAAGCGAGCCTCAAGCGGCCCTCACAGGCTGGCGTCTTCGCTGGACGGCGTGGCCACAATACTATACGGTCGCCGATGCCAAAATGTGAAGCCAGACGACGAAGCGCAGTGGAGGATATGAGGATGAACAAACGGATGTGAGGAGAGGGGCGATGATACGGACGGGACGCTGGCGATGATACCCGCTCGCGGGATGGATGCATCGTCGACGTCGGCGATGCGTCTCGCCAGCGACGTTGAAGCGGAGAACTTCGGGTATCACATGACGACCGCATCATCGATACATCGGCGATGCGACGCGATCCACCGACCCCATCTGCTTCAAAACCCATGCGGGAGGCCTGCTTTTCAGTGCCCGCTCCCGCGCGCCCGAGCAATCTGTTGAGCAGGGACCGACCGTCCCGGCATTCCTATAGTCATACCACGAAATGTTCTGAGAACCCAAACATGTTCTAAGAACAAAAACAAAAAACAATGCTCTTAGAACAGAAACCCGATGTGATGAAACAACACAGTCCCAGCCAGAAATGTTCTAAGAACATTTCGTGGGAACCACACGAGGTTCTTAGAACATTCTTTGGTGGGGCTATAGGCGAGCCAGGACGCTTCGCCACTGCTTGAATCTGCACGCGCGTCGCCGCAGAGCCCAATCCGACCCCGGCCGGTGGCATGCCGCCCTACCTCGGGCGGGCCCGCGCAACACGAGGGGCAGGGCGAGCGCCCGGCGCCCCCAGCGACCGGGAGACCACGCAGGCCGCCGGAGACGAGGAGGGCCTCGAGCGAGGAGCTGCGGGCGCGGTGTCGTCGGGCGGGCAGGTGCGGGCCTCTCTCCGCGGAGGCCTGCAGGTGGGGTCGGAGGATCGCGCCGCATCGCGCCCGGGCATCGCTGGTGCGTCGGCGATGCTTCGGCGACAACGGCACGGAGAGCATCGGGCTCCACATCGAGCCGCATCGCCGATGCATCGGCGATGCGGCCCGACTCCCTGTTCCTACCTGCTTCGACCCCAGAATTCAGTGGCCTGGACTTCAGTGCCCGCTCCCGCGCGCGCGCACGCACTCTGCACGCGAGCCGCCAGAGAGCCCAGTCGGACCCTGGCTGGCGGCAAGCCGCGCGGGCGCCGCCCAAGCGCAGGGCAGGCTGGGCGGGGCTGCAGCGGCGCTTCCCCGCCGCCGCGGCCGCCTGCCGCGGAGGCCGCACGGCGGGCCGTGCTGGGAGCAACGACTGCGCCCCGGCGCCGCGTCCAGGACAGGACGCCCTGGCGGGCCGACCTCTGGCAGCAGAGGGGAGCGGGCCGCGCCCGCCCGGGACGGCCCCTGCGCGGGCAGCGGCGGCGCCGCCCTGCCCGCCGGGAGCGCGCGCCGCGGGCCGCGGGAGGGGCAGCGGGGGCCCTGCGGGGTGCCCCCGCGCCCTTTCCCGACCGCAGCTGCGCGCCCCGGGAGAGGCCCCCCAGACGCCACCGAGAGGCCGCCGCGCTGCCCTCGGGAGTGAGGGGCAACCACCGGGGGGGGGGGGGACTGGCAGAGGGGGGAAACGGAGACCTGGGATCGGCGATGCGCCGCCGGTAGATGGGCGATAGGCCCTCGAAAGCACATGCCCACGCTCCTGGGCGGGGTGGGGCTACTGGGCCCCTATCGGTGATGCATGGACCACGAGGGGTCGATGCACCCCCCCTGTGCCTATCCCCCATCTGTGCTGCCGGCTCGTCGATCCTCCTCGCTGCTCGCCACACCTCTCTGACGTGGCAAGAGTGGCACCCGACCAACTTTGGCAGGTCCCAAATCCGTCCCTCCCTCCCTCTTCCGCCTCCTCCTCCTCTTCCTCCTTCTCCTCCTCCTTCTCCTCCTCCTCCTCCTCGTCCTCGTCCTCCTCGTCGTCGTCTTCCTCCTCTTCCTCCTTCTCCTCTTCCTCCTCGTCCTCGTCCTCGTCCTCGTCCTTCTCGTCCTCCTCGTCGTCGTCTTCCTCTTCCTCGTCCTCCTCCTCCTCCTCCTCCTCGTCCCCTCCACTTGCCGTCCCTGTGCATTCCCCCTCGCCCTGCGGGCACCCCTCTCCCGACGGACTGCACCGCGCGCCCCCGCCGGCTTCTCGGCCCGCGCCCCCGCACCCCTCTCTGCCCCGCCGCGCCCTCTCGGGTCGTGGCTGTAGGACAGGGGCGAGTCTTAGGTTGGGCATGTCCTCCTATTGGGGGACCTTCGACGAAAAACATACAAATGAATCAACGAACTCTTCAATCATGCTCAAAAAATCGCTCCAGACCACTTTTTGACTGTTTAGGAATCTTCCTCCTGTGGAGGGACAGGCCCGACTTCAGACGACTCGTCCCGGAGCGTCCCAGAGCACGCCCAGAGCCTCTCAGAGCGCCCCGAGGAGGCCGCGGCGCCCGGTGCATCCTCCGGAGCCGCGGGCTCTCCGAGATCCCTCCGAGGCACCCCTGTCCGATCCTGCCCTGGCTGCGTCTCGCGTCCGCGCGCACGTGGGGTGGGGGGGGCCCAGCGGAGCAGTCCTCCCGAGGGCGGGGGGGGGGACGCGTGGGAGGGAGGAGAAGGGAGGGGAGGAGGGAGGGAGGAGGGAGGAGGCGCGAGGTCCTTGCACCCGCGGTTCTTGCGCACGTACTTGCATGGTTCCTGCGTGGTGAGCTGGCGACAGAATGGCACCTTCCTCCGTGTCTCTCTTCTTTCTCTCTCTCTCTCTCTCTCTCGTTATCCCGTTGTTTTGTTTTGTTCTCTCTCTCTCTCATCCTCTCATTCCCTCGCGTAGCCATCGCAAACCGGTTTCTCTCCTTCCATATCTGATCCGCCTCCTCCACCTGTTCATTCTCCTCCTCCACATCCTCCTCCTCCACCTCCTCCTCCTCCTCCTTCTCCTCCTTCTCCTCTTCCTTCGGCCTTCGCATTATTCCCCGCTTTCTCCTTCTGTTCCTCCTGCTGGTATTCCTCCTCTTCCTCCAATTCCTCCTTCTGCCTTCACCGCTGTCCCAACGCCTACTGCCCTCCCCGTCCCTTTCCCCCCTCCTCCTCCTTCTTTGTGACGCTGCGCGAACCTAGATCGGATGATCGTGGCGTCTGGAATCCTCCTCCTCCTCCTCCTCCTCCTCCTCCTCCTCCTCCTGCTCCTCCTACTCCTCCTCCCAGGCCCCGTCCCCTTCCATGCCCGTCCTCCTCACGCCCCACCTCGTCCTCCCTGCCCTCCTTCCCCGCCTCACCGTCCCTGCGTCCGCCCACGCCGCTCCTCGGCCCCCCCTCCGACCCCTCATCCCTCATCTCTAGCCCTACGCCCCCTCCTCCGTCCTGAGGGAACAGGGAGATACCGACCCCGCTACTCCCCGGGCCTCTCCTGGGGTGCACTCTGTTCGAGAATCTCGAGGAGAAGCCAGCCGCGGCGAGGGGGGCCTCCGAGAAGGCTCAATCGGTTCCTTCTCCCCCTCCTCCTCCTTCTCCCCCTCCTCCTCCTGCTCCTCCTCCTCCTCCTCCTCCTCCTCCTCCGCCTCCTGACGTTTCTGACGTTTCCCGCTAAGTACAGCGTCTCTCCGCATCCCCGCCGCGCGAAAGGCATGCGCGCCCTGCCTCCCAGGATTCGACGGCCCCCGCCTCCTCCTCCTCCTCCTCCTCCTCCTCCTCCTGCTCCTCCTCCTCAAGCCCCTGCTTTTCCTCCTTGTCTTCCTTTTCCTCCTCCTCCTCCTCCTCCTCCTCCTCCATCCCGCTTCCCTCTAAGCTTGCCGACACAACGGGCCAGATGCGTGCTTCAATCTCGGGTAAGAGCTCAAGAATGTTTCGAGCTGAGAACCCCCGAGGACGCACACATCATTGATATAGTGCTGGTGCTCGGGCGAGTTTGGCGGTGCTGCCTTTTCGAGCTGCCGGCCGCCCTGGACAGCCCAAGAGGCCCGAAGATCGCTCCAACACATAACAAGAAACCTCCAAGAGGGCCCCCGAATGGCCCAAGATGGCTCTAAGACGGCCGCAGGATGGCCTCACGAGAGTGCCCAGAGGGGTAACCCGAACAGACAGTACGAGCTGTCGGCCCCAAAGGCGCCCAGGAAGCTCCAAGAAGCCCCCAGGAGCCCCCCAAGAGGCCCCAAGGCTCCCGAAAAGCTCCAGGGGATCGAAAGACCCCTTACAGGCCCCCAGAAGCCCCACGAGGTCCCCAAGAAGCCCCCAAGAGGCTCCCCAGATGCATCAAAACTGCACACCAGAAGCTCCCAAGAGCCCTTCGAAGATCCCAAGAAGCACCCATCAGAACTCTGACCCAGGTGCTTCGCGAAACTATGCTGGAGCTCTCTTGATCCTACTACCGTTCCCCATGGATACGAGCACACCACAATGCAGCCACCGTGATGCGAAATGGGCCAGCGGAATGAGCGAAGCGAGCACCACCAGACGTGTCGGACGGCGGGCAAGGCCGTTCACCAGAGTCTTCCTCGTCATTTACCATGCATGACCATGAAGCATGAAATTCGCAACAGTTTCAAGGATGGAGAGCGGGCCTTCTTGACAAAATGTGGCTCTCGCGAGAGCGCCGCGCTCATCCGTCTCAAGAATTTACAGCAGTCCCAAGGATGGAGGGCGGGTGGTTTTCAAAAAGCAGCTCTCGCCATAGCGCCGCGCACGTTCGTCTCAGAATGTTGCAGCAGTCTCATGGAGGGATGGCGGGTTGATTTCAAATGTCACTCTCGCCTGAGAGCCGACGGCATGCGTCTCAAACTTTGCAACTATGTCAAATGCGCAGGGCAGGGCGGCACATCTTAAAACTGTTGCTCTCGCCTTAGCGCCGACACGCATTCGTCTTAAACGTGTGCAACAGTCACGATGATTCGTGGTGCTGAAATCCTAGGAATGGCGTTCTGGTGCGATGTAGGATTCTCGGGACGCAGCAATCACGCGGATCCGCGGCGCTGAAGTCCCAGGAACGGTGTTTGTGCACGACTGAAGATTTCTCAGGCGCTCGTCGTCGACGTCGTATCTACTGGGCCACTTCCCGCAATGAGAATTCAGTAGGAGCTCGACCACGAGAAACCTTCCACAAGAAACCCAACCTTCAGACCCCAATATGTTCATGGGTGTTTGGTGGGAACGTCACGTTGTCCGTAGCAAAACCGTTGGAACCCCAGGGCAACCTGGAGGCAAACATCACTGCACCTACCTTGCAGACATGCTCCAGCGGTTTTGTGCGTGGAGTCCTGTCAATACAAAATCCTGAAACGGCGAGCGAAAAATTATGTACATTTCACGTACATGTTTTTTACTCTTCACCCCTGGCCAAACAAATCCGCACGAAATTCACTTCGGAATCTGGAACGAGACCCTCCAGGACACTCTGGGCCCATCCTCTTGTTTTCCGCACGAAGTTCGCTCTGCGATGTTGGCGCCGTGACAAGCTCGGGTCGGACGAAAGGGGGGGATAGCAAAGGAAAGGTTTGAGAATCAGCTCACGTAGCTGATTTTCCCGGCGCCTCCCGGTGCCGGAGGCGACAATGTATCGAGGAAAGGACCCCGGCGGCGGGGCCGAAACCAGCTGCGTGCAGCAAATTTCGTACCCCCCCCCCTTCCCAATCCCCCCCTTTCGTCCGGCCCGACGAACAGGGTGTTTGTTGGCATGGGTTTCCGCTGCCGGCGCCGCGCCTGGCACGAGATCGGGTGGCCCACCGAGCCCACGCTCAGCACCGCCTTGGGGCTCTTCGGCGGGCCCGCGCCGTCCAGCGGGGCGCACTTCTGGGCGGCGTGGCGGCGTGGCCAGGGGGGGGGGCAGAGGCCCTGTCCCTGCCCTCCCTCCCTCCCTCCCCTGACTGTCCCTCCTTCCCTTCGTTCCATCCCTTCCTCCCTCCCTCCCCTCCCTCGCCCCCTCCTCCCCATCTGGCGGGCCTAGAAAAATCGCCTCCACGAGATGCCGAGAGAACTCGAGCAGGCCTCCGGCCCCCCCGGAGCCAGGCACGGTGGCGGGCAGAGCTGCAGGCCACGGCTGAACGCCGTGGGCAGGAACTGCCCGCCGAGGAATTGTACTCCGGCCAACCCCCCCAAACCCACTGGCCGACCCTGGCCAACCCTGTACACGCCTCATGTCCGACCCTGGTTGCTCTACCCTGGCCAAGCCTCCCGTCCAGCCATCGTCAGCTGGGCACTTCTTGCCATCAGCCTGAGTCAACGCTTCAGGCACGTCGGCTGCCCCACCCCACGGTGGTCGCGGGCGCAGGCCCGCCTCTGATTGGAGCTGTATCCCACAGCGCTGCGTGCCCGATCTGCGGTACACATCACTGGAGTGCCGTCTCGGAACAGCCAACAGGTCAGGCGCTGACCGTCGGGACATTCTGGGTTCTGATCACGCGTCACTGTGACCGCCAAACTGTGCCGTGAGGGTGGTCTGCTCAAATCGACTCGACAGCGCTTCTCTGCATAGTGGTGCCAAGGATGATAGGGTGCTGGGTTTCCTCCTCCTCCTCCTCCTCCTCCTCCTCCTGGGGACTTTGGGTTGTGATCGAGCAGCAGTGTGATCGCTAAACTGTGTGATGGGGGTGCGCAGGGTCTGCCCACCTCGATTCGACAGCGTTTCTCTGGACAATGGTGCCAATGACGATCTGGTGTGAGGTCGGGCATATCCTCCTACACGCGGGTTTTGGAACACAAAAAATGGAAAAACAACATCAAAACAAATTCTAACATGTTCAGAATAGTCGAACATCTTCCACTCAGCATTTTGCCCCTATGCTTGAACATTCCTCCTGTAGAGGGACATGCCCGAATTCATCCTCCGCCCAGAGATAGATGGACAGGGAGCGGGCGGGAACGGGGCAGCACGGGAGGAGGACGAGGAGGAAGGCGGGGTGGGCACGATGACGAGGAGCGGTCGGAGGGCAGCGAGGAGAAAGAGGAGGACGAAAAGGGGGGACGGAGGGAAAGGTCTTTGGAGGTACCCGAAGGTCTCGAGGTTCCCTCCTCCTCCGCCTCTTCCTCCTCCTCCTCCTCGCACTCCTCCTCCTCCTCCTCCTCATCCTCCTCCTCTCGCGCTGGGGCGCGGATGAAGGGAGGATGCGGAAGGAGAAGGTAGGATGAAGGGGGGAAGAAGAAAAGAGGACACGACCTCCTCGACCGCGCGACGCCTATCTAGTCTCCTCTTCTTCCCCGGTTCTCTGCGCCCTCCGCTTTTCTCGCGCAGTTGCCCGCTGTTGCACGTAGTCTTGCTACTCGTTCGCTAAAGCGCTCACAAGGAGGGCCCTTCACTGGAACCGAAAACTGCTTCAACAATGACTTTCAGAGGTCCGCGCGTATTTCTCGGGTCGGGTCGGCATTGGACTCCTCGTCCCTGGCGCGCGAGGCGCCGCCATGCATGGGGGGCCCCGCGCCGACCCAAAAAATCCACGCGGACCTCCGAAAGTGAATGTCTACGCTGTTTTTGGTCCTTCGATCACCCCCCCCTCCTTTCGGGGGGGAACGGAAGGGTGGAATAGAAAAGGGTAGGGTATTTTCCCAGCGCTTCCCGGCGCCGGGAGGCGCCCATGTATCGAGGAATGGCCCTGGCGGCGGGGCCGAAACCAGCTGCGTGCAGCAGACTCCTTACCCCCCCTTTCCCGATCCCCCCCTTTCGTTCGGCCCGATCCTCCTGGCAGGACCAGCCAACATCGCATCGGGACACCCGGCCGAACCCCGAAGTGTGCGCCGGAGACGGGGCCGCATCGGCACGGAGCCGAGGTGGAGTCGGATCGGCTGCGCGCCGGGATGCGCAACGGCACACTGCAGGCGCCGTGCCGCGTCGGACCGCCATCGGGTCGAGCAGGGCGGGCTCGATGCCCGGACCTTTGTGGGCAGGGGAAAAGGCAGGGCCGTTTTTTGACCGTTTCCAAAAGAATGCCCTTGAAAATGGAAACGGCAAAAAAACGGCGACCAGAAACGGCAAAAAAACGGCTCCAGGATTGGAACCGGGGCCGGAACCGGTCAAAAAACGGCGACGGAACCGGCAAAAAAAACGGCGTCGGAACCGATAAAAAACGGCAAAACGGAACAGGTAAGAAAACGGCCCTGTCGTTTCCAGGGCCCACTACAAGGCCTGGACCACGAGCCGTTACTCTCCGGACATCTCCCGGGCTGGGGTGCACTCTGACCAGAGGCTCCGTCGAGCCACATCTGGCCGCGGCGACAAGCTCTCCGGGGCGAGCAGCGGTGTCGGCCTCGCCTCCTGCCCTGGGCCCCCGGGGCCAGCTCCTCCTTCCGAGGCGCCTTCCCGACAGCCCCGTGGTCCGCGGAGGGCCCTCGAAGGCCCGACGACCTCCAGGCCTGGTGCCACCCCTGGGCTGGAGAGGAGGAGTGCCCAGAGGCCTCCCGGCTGAGGGTGGCCCGGGCGCCGATCCGACAACTCCGCGCGGAGCGCCAAGACTCGATGCCTATGGTTTTTTTTCTTCTTCGACCGAGGGGAGGCCTCGGAGCATCGGCTCGGGCCGATCGCATCGACGTGGGCCCTGCCGGGTGACGGCGGGCAGAGGTGTGCGGCGGGCACCAGGGGGATAGGGGGAGGGGGGAAGGCTTCTTAGACGAAGGCTGCTTCTTAGAAGGCGCGGGCCTTCCATCCTCAGGCAAGGCCCGCACCTTCTGAAAAGCAGGGGCGCTTCTAAGAAGCCTTCCCCCCTTCCCCTACCCCCCTTCTGCGCGTGGCTGACAGCCTCCGAGGGGAGGCCTCGGAGCATCGGCTCGGGCCGATCGCATCGACGTGGGCCCTGCCCGGTGACGGCGGTCGGATGATTAGGCATAAAAAGAACCCCTAATCCTTTGGGAGGCGACCTAATACAGAAGGGCCAGGAACATTCGGGATAGGGCGTCTGTTTGTTCTGCAGATGTATCGCCCCAAACCGCCCATACAAGTTAGCCCCCAGTGCGAAAATGAAGGACTCATAGAATGCGGAACGGGGGACCTCAGAGAAGCCACGCCTTCACCATAGTATCAGGGTAGAGGGTTTGCTTTTGTGCTCGATGGTCGGAGGCCGAGGGCTCGGCGCGGGCGCGTCTCGCGCGCGCGGGCGCCTGGCTCGAGATGCCGGCCCGGGCCTCCCGGGCGGGCACCTCGCCGCCGCGGGCGGGCGCAGCGGCCCCCCCCCCCCCACCAACTGCTGCCCCTGGCGGGGCGGGGGTGGGGGGGGGAGGGGTCGGGAGGGGCGGGGAGGACGAAGGCGAGGACTGACCACGAGGAAGACGACGAGGAAGGATCCAGACTCAACTGGACCACGAGGAGGACGGCGAGGAGGGATCCAGACTCAACTGGACCACGGGGAAGACGAGGAGGGATCCAGACTCAACTGGACCACGAGGAGGGCCACGAGGAGGGATTCGGACTCGAGTGGACCACGAGGAGGGCCACGGGGTGGACGTGGGCCGGAAGCTCCATTGTGGAAGGCAGGCCGCGGTGAGGCGAGGGGGGGGGGGGGGGGGAAAGCCGAGCGAGGTCCCGAGAGCGGGCGAGGCGAGGGCCGGAGAGGCACGAGCGGAAGGGACCGACTCGTGAGGAGGCTCGAGAGGGGTGAGGCGGGGAGGCGAAGGAGGAGGAGGGGGAGGAGGAGGAGGAGGCGAAGGAGTAGGAGGAGGAGGAGGTGGAGGAGGAGGAGGCGAAGGAGTAGGAGGAGGAGGCGGAGTAGGGGAGGAGGCGAAGGAGGGGTGAGAAGAGGAGGCGACGGAGTAGGACTAGGTCGGGTATTTGCTCCTACGGGCGGATCTTGAAAGGAAACATCGAGAACGTCCACAGACTGTTTGTTGATACTAGTCTTGAGGGTTCCTCCTGTAGAGGGACGTGACCGATTTACGAGTAGGAGGAGGACCGCGGGCCGCGGGCCAGTCGTTGGGCACGGCCGAAACACCAGGACCTCAGGAGAGTGGCCGTTCATCGCATGCTTCCGATTCTTTGATGTCCTGAGAACGTTGGCGTGTGGTCGCGGCTGGGAGCGAGATTGAAACGACAGAAACAATAATGGACAGCTTCGTCAGCATCGAGCGTATGTACCAAGCCAGTCTGTCGCCAGCGTGGCGATCGCACTCTCTTTCAGAGCAGCTCCGCGTACCGCAGAGGAGGAGGAGGAGGAGGAGGAGGAGGAGGAGGAGGAGGAGGAGGAGGAGGAGGGGGGCTGGGTGCGCCAAAGAGGGGGGCCGGGACGAGGGGGGTTGCGCGTCATGGTCAGAGGGTCAAGCAGCCTGCCAGAAGAAGAAGGACGATAAACATACTAATAATAGTAAAAAGGGGAAGAAGGAGAAGGATCATATACATAAAAAAGAAAAAATAAGAAGGCGAGGAAGGAGAGGACGAAGAAGAGGAAGAGGAGGAAGGATGAACACAATAAGAAGAGAGAGACCAAAGACGAGGGGCAGGGCCAAAACATCTGGCAGATCTCATCGCTCGGCCGTGGAAAACAACGCCCCTGGTCTTCCCCACCCCCACTCGGACGCCCCAGGATGGATGGAAGCCTCCCGGCTTGTGCCCAGCAGATGAGGTTAGGTCGGGCATGTCCCCTTACAGGGGCATTTGGGAAGAAAACAGAAACACACTCAAAACGCAGTAGTCACGCATACCAGAAAAATCATTCCCTGACTGTGTCTTTCCCATTCTTGAGAACTCCCCCTGTAGAGGGACATGCCCGACTCAAAGATAGGGTCAGAGGGTCAGGCCGCCGGGCCGATGCATTCATATAGCGGCGTCGGGGCGGAGAACAACTACCTGCTTCGCACATCCGGGGACCTCAAGGCCAGACGAGGTAAGCGCACGTCATCACCAGCGCTGGATCTCGCAGCAAGCAATACCTCCTTCATTCGATGTCTGGCCTGCTCAGAATCGTGGCGATCTGCCAAAGCCTGGAGGCCTGCGTCGACGTGACAGTTGACGTGCCGGTCCGATCTGATCTGGAATGCACCACCCGACGATTCGCAAAGCTGCTGGTAAGCTTCGGCTGCCAAACTTGGAATGCCATGCACTCCATAGAGAAGAAGAATAATGTTCCACTGTATACGGTAACCCCTCTCCAGAAGACTGGCTTTAAGTGCCTCCATGCCGCGGATGCCGCGGAACTTTCCAGGAGAGTGCGTGTCCAAGCCATCGGTGATCAGGTGCACACGGATGGGAACTTCAGCGCTGTATGTTCCCAAGATATCTGTCTCCATCATCTTCCACATGAAGGTCCCCTGGCTGGAGCCGTCCCAGGACTTCAACAGAAGCGGCAAGTCAAATTCATTTTGGAAGTCGCTCGTTTCGAGGAGCAGAGTGCGCAGCATTTTCTCTGTTTGAATAAAAGACCATCCACCGCTGACGTCTCTGAACTCCTCAAACTCTGTGACCCCTCCAAATTTAATGACACGGACAGGGGTACCCTCCAAATAGGTGGCCAGTTCGATAAGCTCCGTCTGACCCGCTCGGAGGCACGTCTCATCCCACCGGAACTTTTTCCCAAACGTGAACTGCGAGTCCAAGTGGGTCTTGTATTGGATCATTGAGGAGCTGTCGTCAAGATAAACCAAATTGGGGACTTTACTAGTTGCATCTGGCAATCCAGACCGTGTTGCCGCCGAAACAACCAATGCCGTCTTCAGGGCAGAGTCCCTGATCGTACTCGTGCAATGGAAATCTTTCCTTCGCCCAACTGATTCTGCTTCACGCTTGGCCTTGCGCATCTCTATCGCTCGCCGCGCTCCTTCAACGCGTGCGTTCCATATTCTCTCTGGGATGCTCGAATTAACCACAGCTAGAAAAGATCTGCCACCGTACCCTGAAGCACGATTCAGAATGTCCTCAAGTCTCCTCGAGTTCTCCGTGCTGCTAAGTACCGGAAATAGTTTCTACGGGGCCCACAGCCCAGAAATCCGGGCGCTGCTCGGCGCTCTCTGGGGATCCACGCGTGACTTTTCAAGAGGCCACGAGCGCGTTATCTGGGACATGCATGCCCAACGCGGCCAAAGGTGGCCCCAAGGACCTTCCTGGAGCCTGCTTGGGCGCCTCTTGAGCCGTCATGGAGGTCCCGGAGAGCGGCCCCAGAGCCCCCAAGAGGGGCCCAAGATGCCCCCAAGACGGCCCCAAGAGGGGCCCAAGCGGCCCAAAAGGCCCCCAAGAGGGCCTGAAGACGGCCCCGAGACCTTCAAGAGGCCCACGATGGCCCCCAAGACGGCCCTGAAGCGCCTCAAGAGGGCCCCAAGACGGCAAAGAGAGGCTCTCAAGACGGCGTCCCACGGGCCATGAGCGCTCTATCACCGCCAAAAAGCTCCCAACGAGCCCACAAAGGCCCACAAGAGGCTTTAAGAGACCGCCCAGAGGCGGCCCAAAGGCCCCCAGGAGGCTCCCAGGAGGACCCAAGAGTGCCCCCAAAGGCTCCCAAGAGGCCTGCTCCTCCTCCTGCTCGTCCTGCTGTTTTCTCCCTCTCCTCATGATCCTTTTCCTCCCCTACGTGTTGCCCGTCAGGGCTTCCACAAAGGCTGGGGGAACGCATGATCTGATAGCGTTGCTAAAGATTGCCCAAACGTTTGGCCACATGGGCGTATCCCGAAAGGCAAGGGGGTGGCGGTGATTCGCCGCAGGCGTCTTCGATCCGCCGCCCCCTGTTGGCTGGCCTTAGTGGTGCCTGGCGTGCTAAGTTTCTGGTAGTATTCGGTACATTTAAGACGCCCCCCCACGAGACTTCGGCGGATTCCGCCGGCCACATCGGCGTATCCTGAAAGGGAGGGGGGGCGGTAATTCGCAGTAGACGTCTTCGATCCGCCGCCCCTTTTTTATCTTGCCACAGCAATGGTGTTTCGGCCGATCGCGCCAGCCACATGGAGAGCCGCGTGACCTGCGTTCTCCATTGTCCTCCCCCAAAGATGACCCCAAGATGGCTTCAAGGCAGCCTCTAAGTAGGCCAAGATGGCCTCCAAGACGGCCCCAAGATGGTCTCCGAAGGCCAAGAGGCCCGCAAGAGGCCCCCAAGAGGGCCCAGGAGGACCCCAAGAGACCCCAGGAGGGCCAGAAGACGCGCCTCGGATGCCCCTAATAGGCTCCCTGGAAACTCCCAGGAGGCCTCCTCCGCCTCCTCCTCCCCTTCCTCCTCCGCCTCCTTCTCCTGCTTCTCCTCCTCCTCCTCCTCCTCCTTATCCTCCTCATCATTACTGTCCCTCTCAAGGGGTTCCACCATTGCTGGGGAACCGCATGGTCCAAAAGCGTGGCCAAACTTTGGCCCCATGTTTTGCCGCACGGGCGTTTCCAAAAGGCAAGGGGCGGCGGTGATTCGCGGTAGGCGCCTTCGATCCGCCACCCCCTGCGGTTTGCCACAGGGGTGCCCGGCGTGCTACTTTTCTGGTGGTGCTTGGTTCTTTCAAAACGCCCCCCTGGGGCTTCGGCCGATTCCGCCGGACACCCGGAAAGCTCCTCTAAATCCGCCTCTCGTGGCCCAGGTCGCCTCCAAGACGGCCCAGATGGCCCAAGATGGCCTCCACGTTCGCCCACTATTGTCCAAGATGGCTGTCGAAGATGCCTCCAAGTCCGCTCAAGAAACCGGCAAGACGGCCCAGGATGGCGTGCTAAACTTCTGAATGGTCTTGTTTTTTTGCATGGTTCTCAACGGGGTCTCGGCCGATTGTACCGGCGCCTTATATGAGGACTCGTAAGCTTCCCAGCTCGTCGGCCGTCGTGCTCCAGAACGCCCCACGGTGGCCTCCAAGACGACCCAGGATGGCCCAAGAGGTCCAATATACCTCCAGGACGGCCAGTGGCCCCAGATAGCCTCCAAGACGAGTCCAAGACGACTCCAAGACGGCCAAGATGGCCCCAAGTCCGACAAAGATGCAGCCCAGACGGCCCAAGATGCCCCAACGACGCCCCAACAAAGGCTCCAAGAGGAGTCATTCACAGTCTGCAGGTTCTTCAATGACTTTAGCGTTCTCGCCTTTTTGGGCTTCCTGGGCTCCAAGACGAAACCATAGGCCCCAAAGATGGCTCCAACACGGCCCCAGATGCCCCAAAGAGGCCCGCAAGACGGCTGAAAAACGACCCAAACGGCCCCCAAGAAGCTCCTCCTCTTCCTCCTCCTCCTCCTCCTCATCCTCCTCTTCCTCGTCGT